ATGGCTGTTCACATCTCATTTTATTTGATTGTTGTTCTGGGACTGCATTTTCATAGTTGATATACTTATTCAAAATTTCTTGAAATTTCTTTCAGACATATACTATATGTTTTACGTATAATATTTCAACCAAGTTTGTAATAATCTATGTTCAAAATAATTTTCCATGGCATTTAAATTTTCAGTTAGCTTATGACTCATCAGTCCCTTCAAGCTTATTTCAGGCAGCCTCGTCCCGTAAGCAAGGTTTTAAAATATTAATTTTGACATTTAGTTATGTTAATATTTCAAAGTGACTAAAACATTTCTTTCCAGTTTTGCCTGGTTTCAAAAATCTCAAAACCAATTATAAGATAAATTACCTATTCCATTAGTTCATTTTATGCCTTGGTTTATCACAATCTTTTCTTTGAAAATAAACATGCAGTGTTTTTGTATACATACTAATCGAACAGTCCCCATTGTGACTTTAGCTAATGATGATTATATTGGTGATATTATTATGTTGTTGTAAAATGATGATGATGTTGATGTTATTGTTGGTGTTGATGATGATGGTAACGATGACGATGACGATGACGATGATGATGATGATGATGATGATGATGATGATGATGATGAGTATATAATTGAATTAGCTGAGTTAGTTCATTTCATTATATCGTATAAAAATAAGAATATTTATAAAATAAAAAGTAAAACGTACACTATTTATTATTATGTTTTAGCATGGCATACACATATGTGGACGAAACTTCGGATTGAATAATAATATTAATATGTCAAAAGTACATTTTGAGACTGATTCTGATTGTCAGATATTTTTTTTAAAGATTATGTTACCGCAATACATTTAATTTTCCTAAAGTTAATTTTCTAAAGGATGTAAAAAAGTACATTCATTACTCATTGTTCAAGATTACACCTTCTGTCTTTGTTTACATAAAAAAAAATCAAGTGGTACAGTATTACTTCCGGGATGATTATTAGTGATTGGGGAGGTGCTCCGAATTTAATTCGCGCAGTTTCGGTTGGTTACGTCGCTTTTTTTAAATTCATATGTTGAAATGATTTTTCATCATTGTCATATTTAGACCTGTTGAATATTGAAGACACACAGAAAGTAACGTAAAATACCGAGTTTTCACGAGTGTTCTATAGATTAATCACCTTAAACATTCTTAAATGAATTATCACAAAGATCAAGTATACAGTCTGTTTTCATAATTTGTTTGCACACACGTCTTTATTCGAGAACTGTTTCATCTGAAACCGGTTAAGTTAAATATTTAAACAAAGAACTTAACTATTTGTTTAGAAAGCGTTTTATTTAACCGTGAAGAAATATTTAAATAACACTTTTGAAATCAATAGCTCGCAAGGCGGTGGTAATTCATTTCTAAACGTTCACTAGAGAAGAGACCTGATACATGTACATATTAATTAGAAAATTACGAACCGTTCTAATTGATCGAGTGTGCAAATACTTGTTCAAACATTTCAATCGAGTTTATTTATTTAATTATTCCACTTGAGAATTCGATATATTTCTAACGGAAACTGTAACAGAGTGCAACTGTTATAATGTAAATAACGAAGTAAAAAAGAAATCCAAAACAATATATTTATCTGTGTAAAAGATAGTAGAATTAAAATGTTATTCTACTGGCAATAAAAAATCCTATTGACGAAATTGATATCTACTTTTATTAATTTATTGCGTCATTTATCAATGTATTCTTAAAGAATTTTGCAAAAAAGACTTTCTCATTATGATTTATTTAAATGTGTGTCAAGCGACTGATTGCTAACACTTGATATTTCTTCATTTTTATGCCCTCCATATGCATCACATATTTGATCAGTTGTGTACAAAACTTTATAGAACAGTAGGACAACTAATTATTATAGAATCACTTTAACAATGCCTTTAAAGACTTAAGTTAATTTGTGCGTCTTTCATTTACTTTTGATCTGAGGCTAATCAATGTCTTGAATGATCCAACGTTTTGGGTTGTACATTTGATAGTTTCATACAACCATTTTATATTTTTTCAACAAATGTTTTTGTTACAACCAGCATGCAGTTCTGTCAAAGTGTTCTTTTTTTTAAATTTGTGTACAAACGACATGATTCTTGTGCCAGAGTTTTGTCTTTTTCACATTTTAAACCTTTTATTTGATATATTTATGGTTGATATAAAACACACACACACACACATATATATATATATATATATATATATATATATATATATATATATATATATATATATATATATATATATATATATATATATATATATATATATATATATATATATATATATATATATATATATATATATATATATATATTTTGGTAACTTTTTGTACAGTACAGTACAGTACAGTACAGTACAGTATAGTACAGTACAGTACAGAGTCTTTGCTTCGTCAAGGTTGCATATTTTATATATAACAATAAAGAACAATGCTATCACCGTTAGAGAAAAGTATGTTTTCTAATGCAGTTTGAATAAATATTGTAAAACCATTGTAAAAGATTTTTTTTTTAAATCGTACATTTATGACTGAACTATGTGGATTTCGTGCGGGGAATAATACAAAACATTTATTATTTTTGTCAAAAATAAATGAGTACTAAGAAGATGCAATGTTTTCGATACAACTATAATAATTTTATCTATACTCCATGTAACTCACTTTATGCTAGTCAATTTTGGGGAAATCAAAGTGTTACAAATACGAATACGCATTTTTTTATGCGAAAATCAACATCTTTGGGTAGCATACCGCCAGATTTTAAGTCATTAAAACATATAGCACTTGATAAGCCAAGAGAAGAAAAACAAAAAACAACAACACAATAATTTATAGATACATTGTACACAATAAAGAAAAATGTATTGACAAATTTCACTGTGACAAATGGAACAAACACGACAAACCAGCAGCAGACGACACCCTCCCTATATATACAGCTACAATCTAGACAAAATAGAATGAATATTTAAATATGAAAACATTATGAATATTTTAACACAAACGAGCTCGGGGTTTTTCCCATAACCGTAATACTTGTCCTGATTCGCACTGTTATAAGATATTCATGAATGGAACGCTGGTAAAATGTAGGTTAAAACAGACTTTTTATATAAATATATCATGACTGCATTTGTTTGTAAATAATGTTAATATAACGTGATTTTTTTCAGATTTTAGAATTGTTATGTTGTATCTTTCAAATAATTGGTATTTAAGAAACAGATTGTTAGGGTTTATTGTTGCACCGGGTGGGTAGGTCGGGAATTTAATTTTCACACGTACCCATACACACACAAAAATGAAATAGTAATCAAAGTATTTGCACATTTTGAGGAACTATAAAGAAATTTGAAATCAAATAAATGAAATGCACTGTTTTTTTTACATGTCTTTTTTTCTGATAATTTTCGGAAATATTTACTCTGCAAGTTAAGCAAAAGCTGTCGTAGTTAGATATGTGACTTTTCCGTCGTAATCGTTGAAATAAAATGAATAATCGTCAAAATTCAATTTTCAACTGATTGCTCTGTGTACCGGAGGGTAACGTATTGTCAAATTTTAAGATTGTATCTACACTAATGTCGTGTTTGGGTGTAATTTACATCTAACACTATTGTTTGAGATAGTAAAGTCATTAAATACTCAGCGCTTTGTTTGAAATGCCAAATTGTTAAACGAATTGATTCCCCCACACCCCCGGGACCCTTCACGCCATTTTAAAGATTTTTATCGGTAATATCAACGGCGCAAAATCGCGAAGGATTACGGGACTACAGTTGGCAATGGTAGTAGATAAAGTGAAAATGTTCGCAATAAAACATGTCCTCTGGTGTTAAGAACATGGTCACGGCAGCTCTAGAACTATCGGGCATATTAGAATTTTAAAATTGTTGATCATATAACTTGATAATGAAGACAATGAAGATAATTCTACGTAACCATGACAAATTGGTTATTGTTTCACATATATGATTTAATAAATAATAACAGAAATAAATATAAAATGTCTTTAATAATATTACGAAATTGTAAAATGAAAAGTAAATCAAGTCGCACGGTCGGAAACGAGATGAAATAAGAAGGCCTTGTTCTTTTTCTGTTCATTCCTAATAAACTGCCTTAGTTTGTCAAATGCAGGGTAAAAAAAGTGATAAAAATTCATGTATGGGCCGTTGCATGACTGTTATTTGATTTTCATGGGAAGTGTATAAACGTATTAATTAAGTTAACAACATTATTTTCACTGTTTTAATTGTTCAAAAAAAAAAATCCACCAGTTTGTAAAAAAAATAATTCAAAATCAACGAACTGTTATTTTTTTAAACAAAGAGTTCTCTTATAGACTGTTATTTGTTTTATTACATTTAGGATTTTTTCATTCGAAATAATCGTTTTTCTTATAGCATTGCGTATTGCAACTGTTATTGTCCGACAGTATCCGAATGTTAAAAGTTAAAAAAAAAACTTTTCGCAAATGAGAAAATAATAGAGTGTTAAAAATAAAAACGAACAATAACTGGTGAGCTATAACCGGGTAACATTATTAAACAAACGACTATTATCCAATTATATCGTTGTAAGAATTTTTTTTGAAGCAGCCGACAAACAGCCGGTGTCGTAGTAAAAAGTTGAGAAAACCCGTCACGCTTCGGAGACCCGCCAGATGTATGTCACTTAACATCTGTCATTCGGGTGCGAATTTCATGCAATTATACAATTAAACCTTATCAAAGAATTAAAAAACTAACAGGTTGCTTCAATCGTAGCCGAAAATGTTTTTCTTTAATAGCAACACTAAACTTTAATACGTTAAAGTAACTGCTGTTTAAACAGAAACCATATGAGCGTTCAGTAGCTGATATTTCATGCGGCGCGATTGGCTGAAAAGAGGAAACTCTGTCCATTATTGGTGATGAATATTTGATCACGTGATACTAGAGACCAAAACAGGTGCAATTCCATTGATAGGAGTCTCTATTGGAAAAAGCTATATTCATTTCCAAACCGTTGATGGTCTCATTTAGTATTCAGACACTACCGGATACATCTTAAAAATTGGAATTTGGAATTTAAAGAAGAAAAAACTTTTCGTACAATAGTGTGAAAAGTTTGTGTTTACTTAACATTATGGACGTGGTGAAACAAAGTTTTGGTGTCGGAATGCATCCCCCGTTAAACCCGGGGCACATATCGGGGCGCTACTCACCGCCTTACCGACCCCCGGAACGTATGAGGTGCATGACGTCATCTTCGGTACGTACGGTTAGTTATTCTCTCAGAAATTGTAAACAAACGAAATGATTTCTAGCCAATTTTGTCGTCTCCGCAGATTCATGAATAAATGAAAACGTATTCAGCTCCCGCTTTTTAATCACCTTTATTAGTTATTCTGAGCCGAGATCGCTATTATTTGCCGTGTTTCATATTTTATGAAGCAGTGTTTTATCTTCTAGAATGCTTGGGCAGACGGCATTGTGGACCTGTACCTAGGGCACGGTGGATTGTATTTAATGAAATAAAAGGATTTTAATTGAATTGCGCAATTTTTAGGATTGCTTAAGCATGAATTACAGTAACCGAGGGTAAAACAAATTGATCTATACGTGTCTTGTAAAAGAATGCTAATATGTTACATTGTTTATGGATGCATTGCACTTGGATTAAATGCAAAACTGGTTCCGGCACATTTATCTTTCTTAATTGGTGAAAATCTGTGCATAATACAAACACTTACGCAAACGTAAATTTTACTTTTAGATAAGCTCGCGTGAATTAATATCTGAACGCGAAACTTGTACCGTCGGTTTAAAAAGTCGTGGTTGTTTTTCCTCTTGATCAATAAATTGTAAAGTTTATTTTTATTTATTTTTTACGATATTTTTTATAATGTTCTAACTTAAAGCAACATATTACCGCATTAGTTTTATCTTTTTAAAGTTTATGTTTGACACAGTTTTAAACAGTACACATTTACTTTAATGCTGATTAACAAAATGTAAGGAAAGAAAGAAATAAGTAAAAAAGAAATAAAACTAATTAGCTACTTGTAAAAATAACTCACATCAGAATTTGTTTCTACCAGACGTAGGACAACTTTAAAACCATTCGAAAGCTATTCAGGATGAAACATTTGGTAGCTTAAGTTGTAATTTGTAAAGAAAACGATGAAACTTCGGAGCCGGTTCGATAATTTGTCACTTTTTGCTTGTTTAATTGAATAAAACGTATGTAGAGTGACGGAGCCAGACGTTTCATGGCTGACAAACGATGCAGACTATATCATACATTTTCGTTTGTGCGAAAATGTTATAAACAAAAATGACTGAAAAAATGTTTTCGCGACAAAATAATCATTCTAGGAAAAATAAAATATGTCATTTTTTACTGGATTTTGAAATTACACACACGTATATACAAAAATAGATATTGAGAAATGCCCTCTACATGTATTGTTTAGATTCTTTTTTAACCTCGCAAAAATTTAATTAAACTTTGATAATAAGTTCTTTACATTCATTCTTATCCGTAAAATAACGTTTTGAAAATTGGACCGGTAATTTTATTTACATAAACATTTTAAAATAAAAGAAATAAGATAAAAAAGAGAGTAGAGAAAATAAAAGCAGCAATTATACGAAAAAACAAAAACGAATTCTGTTGAGCGAACGAAATTGTAAAATGATATAAAATTGAATTGTGAAATTTACGCTGCTGAAAATTTAGCGCAGGCGAAACATGTAAAATTATCTTCTGTTAAACATATGTCACGTGAATTATTTTTCGCGTGACCAGATAAAGGTGAAAAATATTGTGTGCTGCATGGTCGATGAAATATATCGATTATACATCATATTTTGTAATTGCTGAAACATTCAACACTAACCGATTTCATTTCATATCACTGCGCGTTTATTGTACTCCAATATTTAAGGATCTAATTTGTTTGTATTTAAATCTGTATCAATATTGTGAACGACCCTACTATTGTTGTTGATTTTTTTCTTTGCAAAATATTCTTTTTCTTTATAGGTAAAGTTATTTACATATGACTTTGTTTCTTCATTTGATATATTTTAGATTGATTATTTCAAATGTAACACTGGAACTGTGTTGTAATATTTGCAATTTTAATGTGTATTAATATTTAATGAATATAGAAAGGCAAAACAAAGAAAAGAAACAAAACGTAATAGAAAAGTCCCGAGAAATTAAATCCATTTAAATTCAAATATTTTTATACATATTTTATTATTCGGTATGACTTTACAAACTAAAATAACAACAATAAAATACTAAAAAACTCATTTAAAACAGACAAACAACAGCAACAAACATAACAACACATCGCCATCGCACTAATTCATTCCTTTAATTTAAAGCACCCACTTTGACGCCACAAATATAATATAAAATACTAACTAATTAATAGGGATTTTTAATGCCGACTTACCAAAGCAAATGCGTTAAAAAATTTCAAACGCTAAGCATTTATCACATTCATGTCTTTTATTAAAAGTGTGCGACATTTACTATATAATGCTACATTTATTTTAGTATCAGGTTAATCGATGCTGTTATAAAAGGCAGGTGTTATGTTGTAACGATTTATCTGTGAGATACAGTTGTAGTCGTATTTTCTTCCCAATCTAGAAAATAGATCAGTAAAAATATTTCACTTGGATTTCAAAATTGATTTTCTTTCTACTTTCAGGGTAATTTCTTCGGTGGGTTTGAAGATGGGTTACTGGCTCGAGCCGAGGCATTGGCCGCCGTAGATATATCCAAGTCTCCTCAGCATTCTATGAAACATGACGGTCTGTACGGACACACCGCCGGAGAACTTGGTATGCACCAGTCCGGACCTTCTCGCCAACAAATGCAAATGCACGGGCCACCATCATTTGGTCCGCCGGACTCCATGCTAGATCAGTTGACAACAAACACCGGTATGCCACTTCCTGGTATGCCAGATCATCATAATATGGCACCGGTCAGCTCGCACCACAACCATCATCAGATGTACCCACCAATGTACACACACCATCAGAATCCAATGAACCACCCACATCCACATAATATGCCCCCACACCACCAGGTCCACCACTCTATGCACGATACCGAGTGCGATCCCCGGGAGCTTGAGGCATTTGCAGAAAGATTCAAACAACGTAGAATAAAGTTAGGAGTTACTCAGGCTGATGTAGGATCCGCGTTAGCAAATCTTAAGCTACCAGGTGTCGGATGTTTGAGTCAAAGTACAATATGTAGGTTCGAATCTTTGACCTTAAGTCATAATAATATGATCGCACTAAAACCAATTTTGCAGACTTGGTTAGAAGAGGCCGAAAAGGCTGCACGCGAAAAGAAAGAAGCTGAACAAAATGGACTGATTTCCGCGGCAGATAAAAAGAGAAAACGGACATCTATTGCAGCCCCAGAGAAACGTTCGCTTGAAGCTTATTTCGCAGTGCAACCACGCCCTTCGGGTGAAAAAATTGCTCAAATTGCAGAAAAACTAGACTTGAAGAAAAATGTGGTGCGTGTCTGGTTTTGTAATCAGAGGCAAAAACAAAAGAGAATGAAATTTTCAGCTGTCACTGGACATTAGATCTTTCATTTTTCTCTGGTGTGAGGAAATATAGAGATAACACATTGGATATTAATAGTTTAACTAACGAATTTTATCGCGAGATTTTATTTAAATTCAAATTGATGCAATAATCACCTTGTAAATAGTTTTTCATTACAATGTAAATATGAACAATCAAATTATTTTGTCAAATTTTATTTATTTTGTTTTTATGTGCAATGGCTAGTGCAATCAGCGTGATTAGAATTTTTGAACGTCACGTGATAACTATAACCACGTGTTATATACATGTATTTCCGGTTCACAATATTTGACAAAAGATCGATAATGTAGGGAAAAGATTTTTTGATAGTCAATTTGTTACAATATAAGTTTTTAAAGACAGAATTCACACTTTGAACTGAGCATTTTTTATTTTGTAGAAAAACGAGGCGCTTTAAATGACCCATATGTATTTTTTTATAAAGGTTAAACTGGCTCTTCAAATACAATGGAACATAAATAATTTATTTCGTGAATATGAAACAAAAAATATCGCGGTCCGTACTCTTAATGCATGGAAGAACGCATGGGGTTTTTTTTATTTTGTACAGTAAATACACAAAAAATATACAACGGATGATTGCGTTTAAAAAAACGTTTCGATTCAGTTAAAAATGAATTTTAGAACTCCATTTACTAAAAATTTCTTAAGATACCGCAACATAAATATATTTATTTACGTTATTAAATAACCGTTATGAAAATGACTTTATTATTTTTATGTTTTCGAAATCAATTATATTCCTGAAAATTCGTTTACTATGAAATATTTAAACAAAAGTCTTGTATCTAATTAAAGGCATCTTTATGTCCGCGCATGAATTTAAATCAGGGGCAATAACTCTAGTCACTTTATATCCGACATTCTACCTATTTTTGTTGTTTTATTTTTTGTAAATGTAACGTAGTCACGTGCTGCTACAGAGTGTTGTTATATAAGTATTATTTTCTGCAATACATTTGATGTAACATACAAAATAGAAAATAACATTTTGAATATATAAATTTTGACTATATTATCTAGCAATAATAGTTGTATTTGGCATCATTTTAACTTAATCAAGTATAAACTTTACAACATATATAGACAGTATTTGTGTGCCAAGTATGAAAATCACCACTAACAAATGAATATATTAGATAGATAGAAAAATAATCAAGATATTGATCTATTGATCTTGATATATTAATTTAAATCATTGTTATATAGATAGGCAAACAATATTTAATGCAGTATGATAATTTCATTATTTTTTGGGCCGCCTTTTTCTACGCTAAAATCATCTCATCAGCGATGTATATATTATAGGGATTTTAAACACCAATAAGAACAATTTTCATGTTTTTCTGGTGATCATGTCATATACTGCTGTTTAAAAAAAAAAGAGAAAGATTTTTCTTTCCATAATCAATTTTGTTAATATGCAAATAGGGTATTTCAAATTAGTTTGTTGTTTTGTTGTTGTTTTTCTTCAAGTAATAATGAAGAAAATTCAATAAAAACTCAAATCTTCAATAGAAAATCTACAGACAAGTACATGGGAAATTTGAATACTTTAATTTTATTGGTGATTATGTTGAAATACTGTTTTGATATATAGTTTTTGAAGTTTAAGCCATCGTTTCGAGTACATTTTCAGAATTTGATTACAATACAGTACCAACCACATCAATCCCTTACTATTTTTTTTTAATTTCCATTTATATTTTGATTTTGGGGAAGTAAAACAACAACAAAAACAACAACAATAATAATAATAATAAACAATAACAAGAACATCCCTTTAGACAACCAATGTTACTACGTTTTCGAATGATATCTTCATACGTTAGAACTATATATATATACGTGTGTTCGATCTTTCTCTGTCTAGATTAAAGTAGAACTAATAAAAACTGGGCGGATCTTGCTATAGGCTGTAACATGAATATTCATAAGGTATCTATTTTTCTTACCACGCACCGTCTAGACATTGCTATTTGATACCAAGTCTTCTGCTAAATCATTTGATTAAGACGGGTTTTCTTATTAAATGCTAGTAAAGCAATACAGTTTCTTGTTTGTGAGGAAGTGACAATATTTCATCTGTCGGGTCTGTATAATGGACTGTATTTTCTTTTTTTCCCGAATTCTAACTGCAGTTAGGAAACAGCGTATATTTGTCTGTAATTTATTTATTTATATTTGAATAGTCATATGTGCGCAATATAACTTATTATTTTGTTTATAACGTCTGCTATGTTTTAATTAATGAGAATATTTAAAAAATAAATTCCGAATTTAGTATCTTGACAGCGTCAGAAATCATTCTCATTTGCATATATTAAATAATTTTCATCCAAACATTTATGCTCTGTCAAGATATTAACATCGGACATTTGGTCAGGTGAGTCCCACGTGTATTTGTATACATTGTATAATGTATTTATTCTGTTGACTGTTTTTATATATTTTCCATTTGTTATATCAAATTAAAACTCTTGAGTACTATAAATCAGCTTTGAGTGTTTTTTTAATCAGGAAATAGTGCTATCAATGAACTTACATTAGGAATTCCCGTGGTCTAGAAATGCCCGAGAATCATACAATCTACAACAATTAACAATAAAAAATACCCGAAAAGTAAGTTGAAAGCACGAAAAGGTGAGAGATAGGTAGATGAGCATGGATTAATTATGCATAGAGCGAAAAAAGAAGTGGAACGAATCAAGACTGAAAAGATCAATTATTTAAGAAGATATAAAACAGCTAGAAAATTAACCAGATTTGTAGACATTTCTAGTCAAATATACTCAGAACATATACGTCACACTAATATATGTGTACATGGACCAAACAGAATTCTCTGATATACTAGAAATTCGGCATTATAATTTAAAAAAAAACAGAAATCTTGAATAAATGGATATATTTATGGTCAAATGAATATTCCTCAAATTTTTTATCGAATATTAAATTTGATAACTGGATTCCATGCATCAGTGTTACGATTCAAAAGAAGGCGGAAAATCATGATGCATAATTAATAATGTATATAGATGTACCGGAAATATTTCTAAACCGCCAGTATTTGTCTTCGAAATCTTATGACTTATTGCAAAGTATTGTTACTCGGCATAACGTTTTCATTTGTTACTTCTTTCTGGAAATTTAGACAACCCAAGCCTTAAACATCCTGGCAAACGACTACACAATTACATTGAAAAAAATGCGTGGCATTTATACAATATATATAATTATAAAACTTACTTTCAATTATCTAATTTAGATTTTTTTTAGTTTTCTTTAACTGACCTAGCGTATGATACTTTTCTGGACGCCGACATTCAGATATGAATAGTTGCATGATTCCGATTTAAGATTTTGATTGTTATATGTTTAAGTGTCCGTGCGGTTATGTTTAAGTGTCTTTACGAAATAAACACGCATTCTTAATATTTTCCCCCAAAATATTAAACAAGAATAGTCATGAAATCTTTCGTTTATGTATTGTTAAAAACCAGTTTGTACTGAAAATGTTGGGAGAGTAATTCCTGTGGACTAGAAGCTGTGACATATTTTTATGAGATTTGAAATTTGCTAAAACTATTTTTTTGTTATTTATTGACCGAACTGTCAGCAGGAGTTGGAACTACCTAAACTGCATATTTTTGAAAATTAACAAGATATTCTTCTCTAAAAGTGTTCGGATAAATTACTTGCAAAATGTAAAGAAGGAAATGAGTGAAATGATTATTGTAAAAATACTAAAAAAGAGAGAAAAGTTATGCGTTCTGTGTTCAAGGCTTTGAATATATTGTACTCCATACATGTATGATTGTAAAATGTTGCTCTTTTACATCAATTGACTATATACTTTTGTGGAGGTAAATTAATTAAACGATACAAAACATTTCATACATCAGTTTACCCGTGCTTGTCAATAATCTTTGCAACTCTTTAATATTATGAATTTCCCTTTCTCCTATATGAACCCTATCATACACGATTCAACCTAAATGAACAAACTTTGTATAATGTGGAACGCTCAAGAGGCAAAAGCGATATGTGAGTTTGGTTCGTTTTCGAAAGAAAGTCAGACACAACTTCAAGCAATATTTAATGCATATTTTCACTCTCTTCACTCTATTTCTCTCTCGTATACCCGCTGAAATTTTGAGTAACTGATAAAACTGTGTCTCTTAATGGATTCATGCCGGGCCACAAATGATGCTTTAACTCAATTTTTAAACTTAACTATGAATATTTTTGTTCCACCAATGGTTTATGATGAAAGCAAATTTGTAAGTAATGTAGTGATGGTTTAAACGAACTAATGTAATGTTTGGACGCCATAAAAATGTTGTAAAATGAAGAAAATTGAATAAAACAAATTACAATGTATTTCATACTTTGTTGTAGATAAAGTTATAACTTTAACTTAACACTGATGAAATTCTGTTGTTTGTTTTAAAGAGTGCGAGGAACCTTTGAATTATACACGTGGAAAGTTTCTACATTTAAATTATTTTCTGTTACAACATGATTGTAAGTTCACATTAGACACTAAAACTTTGAGAAGACTGTGATATTTCTTCAATAAATATTTTTATTTCCATTATAATATCTCCACCTCAGTTTTTATTACAGACACTATAAATGACATAAATGACGACCACAGCGGCGGCGGCAACAACAGCAAATACAGAAACAACAATAGCGATAATATTAGTTAAAACACCATTTCTAGTCGATGTTGAAGTAGTAGTATGGATGAAATCAGCAAAATAACTAGAGGCAGATTATCAACAACAACAACAACAACAACAACAACAACAACAACAACAACAACAACAACAACAACAACAACAACAACAAAAATAACAGCAGCAGCAGCAGCAACAACAACATACTCAGAAACAGAAGCAACATCAGTAATTTATAATGTAATAATTCTTGCAAAAGCAGACACAGCAACATTATTTTTAACACTAGCAACATAAGAAAAGATACTGGAACAGAAATATCGATACAAAGTACATGAGTCATTATAACAACATATATAACAGTACTATCCGCACCACAGCATTTACACTAGCGAGATCAGAAGAAAACACCATTAACAACACAATAACAAAATATACTACAAAAGCAGCAACTGCAACAATAATGCCAGTACCAGAAGAAAAACTAACAACATACATTGTAGCATTTACCACATAAGAAGACAAAAACAGTCGCGACCGGAGCAGGTAGAGATTACAAGAAGCAATGACTTTTGCGAAATCAGTTACACTAAACAGCCTAGAAATTTATCAGCAACCACAAATGAAATAAAGAAGAAAGTAGTAATGAAAAGAACAAAAAAACAACAACAAAAAAACAACAAAAAAAAACAAAAAAAAACAACAACAAAAAACAACAACATAAATAGAAAGAATAACTGCTTAATAAAGAAAAACTGTTGACTCATTATTTACAGCAACAATTATATGCGATGAAAACGACACTTATCTCAAGAACAACCTGGTAGCACCGGAACCAGTAACAACGAACAGAAACAATAACGTTTGAAACAACTGTTACATTCATTATATCAACAAATACATCAGTCGCAACTACATCACGAGTAGAACCTTCATTACCAGTAGCAGCTACATCATTCGCAATAACAACATCACCTGAAGCAACAACATAACCAGTAGCAACTACATCATCAGTAACGACTACATCGCCAGTAGGAGCTATATCACCAAGTCGCAGCTATATCACCATTAGCAACTACATCACCAGTAAGAACTACATCACCATTAGCAACTACATCACCAGTAAGAACTACATCACCAGTAAGAACTACATCACCAGTAAGAACTACATCACCAGTAAGAACTACATTACCATTAGCAACTACATCACCAGTAAGAACTACATCACCAGTAAGAACTACATCACCAGTAAGAACTACATTACCATTAGCAACTACATCACCAGTAAGAAC